CCTTGGTTGGATTAACAGAACTTTACATTGAAAGTGAGTAGGGGGCTAGAGTAGGTTGGCCTCTTGGTGTTCATTAGTGTTGAAACCCTATTGTCTTGTGAGTTTTGTGATGTCTGGGAGGGGAACATCGTAACAACTGCAATTATAACAATAATAAAAATACCTAATATTTACTGTACACTTACTATGTGCCAAGCACTATGCTAAGATTATTACATACATTATTTTATTTAATCCTCACTACAACCTTAGGTGCTAGGTACTATTCCCCAATTTTACAGAAAAGGGCAGAGAGATCAGGTAACTTGCTTCAAGTCACACAGTTAATAATTGCCAGAGCTAGAAATCAAATCCAGGTCAGCCTGATTTCAGAGTCCAGGTTTTTAACCCTTGCAGGAAATTGCTATGTCATTTTAATCTGTAGAATCAGTATGTAGCAATAATAAAATAATCATTAATATGTTCCCTTTTGTATATATGAAATGTTTTCTAAAGAAGTTGTTTCTCATTAGACATATCATCCTTAGTATCATCCCCATTTTAAAGCAGGAATGCCTGTGGGATAAAGAAAGAGATTAAGCGATTAGCAGGAGGTGATTCAACAGAACCAAGAAGTTTCTGATCCGCAGTTGCCTTTAGTCGAGGGGTTCATGTAAAGATCATACAGTCTTTACTCATATTTCACTTAGATTTTTTCAGTGAACCGTGTTGAAGTTATAAGTGCTTATCTCAGACAGCGATACTATCTGAGCAAGGCATGGACGTTTATGGATTTCAGAACAATAGAGCCTTATTGGTTACGTGTTAGAAAATGTACTTAATCCTGGTCTTATGGAAGTTGAAGCAAAGCAGAAGAGAAAAAGCCAATCTGCAATGTTTTCCCTTTTCCAAGAGGGCAGCTAAGGTGCCCAGATATCTTTGCCCTCCAGGGGTGCAGGTGTGCAGTTTTTATTCTTTAATCATTCACATAAATTAAAGCCTATTCCTTTGCATTGAAAAAATAATATAAAACGACACACTCCATGTTTTATTGCCAGGCAAGAGCTTTGAACTTATGTCTCATTGAAGTTTGATAAACTGCAAGGATTTTCCAGGGTTGGGTAGTGCACTTAACCACAGAGGGAACATTGGACTGATAAGAGCTGCAGGTGGGGGAAACTGCCAAGGGAGCCGCAATTACAGAGGGCTCTTCGTTTGCACTGGCTCATGTGAAATTCTCCGTGGGAGGAACCTTTCCCTGCCTCTGCTGGCTTTTCTTCGCTCCTTCCTTTCTCCCACAGATGAAAAGAGCACCAGGGCTTTCTGTTTCTATTCTGTGAACTAGGGACAGGTGGGATGAATACTTTGTGGTGGGGTGGTTCTTTGTAAGACACTTTGAAATTTGGGAGCAAGTTCTAACTTCATACAAATGCTGATTGGCATGCACACCTATGCAGGTGGGGACCAGACCCCCACACACACACCACGCATGCACATATGAATTCACATGGAAATGGGCCACATCTCTCAGATGATTTTACTATCAACATATACCCCTGCCTTTGTGCCGTGTGCAAAATAAAGATCTTACTTACTTCCCAAACTGATTAAAAAGTGTCAGTGATGAGGCACTACAGTGTTAAGAGCATGGGTCTAACACAAACTTTGGTTTGAATCTTTATGTCTCCTTTACTAGCTGTGTGACCTTGAGAAAGTTACTTCAATTCTATAAATCTCAGTTCTCCCATTTGTAAAATGGAAGTAATCAAAATACCTATCATAGGATTGTTGTGAAGACTAAATGAAATAATGCATGTAAAACAATTAGTACAGTATTTGGTATGTTATTGTTCAGTAAGTTATACAGGTGCTCAAAATTGGTAGTTATTATCATTATTATGTGTAACAAACTATAAACATCTGATTGGTAGATGAATATTAAACAGTTATAGTTCTTTATAGTTCTTTATTTGTCTTTCTCCCCCCCCCCATTATTTTTGGTTGTTGTTGCAGTCTGTTTTCCAGAAAATTCCTCCTTTCTTTCTAGGAGGACAAAAGTACTTTGATTCTAATTGCTCTGAAAACATTTCTCCTTTAAAGTGCTTTCACATTGACTTTTAGCCCTTGGAGATAGGGAGGAGAAGCAGCAGAATTTGCTTCTAAGTATGGTAGAGCTTTTTTATTTCTACTATTTAAAAAAAAAGAAAAGAAAAAAATATCCTGTACTAGCCTTAGGTAGATCTGAGTCATAAAAGCCCATATACCCCAAGGAAGGAATGTTTTTGTAAGATCAGGATAAGTGGGTGAAAGAAGGGAAGGAGATTACAGAGGTGAACATATAGCCAATTTTAACATTAGTTTGGCCATTTCTCATTCTAATGTAGTATACACTTAATTATAAAACAATCAGTACAAGAAATTGGCATGTACTATCTCACAACTACACTGAGTTTGGCCATTTCTTAGAGAAGTAGTTTTCCAGTTAGAACTGTTGATGAAGCACTGATTTTGTCTTGACATCTTTTGGGGGTGGGGGGCTGGAGAATGTTTGCAGTGATTGATGGTTGTTAGCTTTGAATAGTTGGTTGTTATCAATAGAATAAGTAACAGAATGTAAACATATCATTCATGTGGACTTTAGGCGGGTGCAAACGTGGTGGAACCCTAGGTCACCATTGTCAAATGAAGACTCTCTTGAGTTCAGCTTGGGTAGATAAACTTATTTACTTTATAAGCTTTACTGGACCACCAGGACTTCAGGAATAGTTTTTTGAAACACTCATTAATTTTAGGTAATCCCTCCCTATTTTCTTGAGGGATAAAACTATGAAAGAGGCATGTGTCCATCTTGGCAGCAACTCGTGGAATTGCTTTTTGTCAGGATATTCATCACTTTTGGATTTTTTTTATTCTCACTACTCCAAAAGAAAGTTGTGGGGTTTTTTTGTTGTTGTTCTCTTAAAAAATGTTTGGATGGTAAATGGAAACATGAAATTGGAAGTTTCTGTGTGAAGTGTGCCAAGATACCATTGTCATACCTAAAGAAAAAATTCAGGGAGAAGGAACAAACTGGCCATATCAGAATCTCTGGCCTGTGTTGTTTCCTGAAGTAAACCCTGCAGCGGTTCTCAACCTGTGGGTCACAACCCCTTTGGGGGTCGAACAACCTTTTCACAGGGGTCACCTAAGACCATCGGAAAACAAAAAGATATTTACATTACGATTCATAACAGTAGCAAAATTACAGTTATAGAGTAGCAACGAAAATAATTTTATGGTTGGGGGTCACCACAACATGAGGAACTGTATTAAGGGGTACGCGGCATTAGGAAGGTTGAGAACCGCTGCTCAATAGCCTTTTGAGACAGGCTTTTAAGAAAATTGATCATCAAGCAAGCAGGCTCTGTGGTGTTTTACATTCATTACCTTATTTAATTCTTATAAGCCTATGAGGTAGGTACTAATAGTTAATATTATGAACCCTAATCGTATGCTTATCCACATTTTATAGTGAGGAAATAGGCTTGGATAGTAATTTGCTCAAGGCCACCCAGTTAGGAATTGGTAGGGCTGAAAATGGAACTCAGGTGTCTCTGAACTCCAAAACCCAAGTTCTTAATCAGTGATTCTTAAACTTGAGGGTACAGAAGGAGTACCAAGGGTACTTGTTAAAATTACTGGGCTCCAGTTAGAAATTTAAGGTCACAAAGTCTGGGAGGGTACCAGATTGTAAATCTGCATTTAACAAGGTATCTCGGGTGATTCAGATCAACAAGTTGATTGACTATATTATTAGAAAGAGTTAAATTATGTTTTTATCCACACTTGATTTAAAAAAACAAAAACTAGGTGTATATCAAATAACTATCCAAGGTTAAGCTGCCAAAGACAGAGCTATGATTCAAATGCAGTTCTAATTCTACTTCTCACACCCTTTCTTTTAAACCCATGATTAATTCACACATTTACCTGTCACAACAAATACAGAAAACATAAGTTCTGATAAGCCACACAGATTTAATGGTCTTATTATTTTCCAGGGTTAATAGTTTATAATACCAGTTCTGAAATTTTCATGGTCCTTACACTTTTCAGTGACTTTCTTTTAATTAAAGAATTGGGTTTTCTTTGCACTCAGATAATTTACGCTTTAGGCATGGAATCACTCTTCCCTGGGATAAATTTCTGAGATTTGCAAAAGTGGGAGAGGATGGAAGGCAATGGGGAGAAAAGAACTTCCAAGCATATCTGCTAAATGGTTCTAAAGCTCCTCTTCAACTCACCCTCTTCCCTGAAATGAAGAGTGAAGGGCTGGTATTAATACTTTAACAGCCAATCAGATGGCAGTAGATCATGTTCTGCATCATTTCCCATTCTACCCTTTGAGAACATAGCTCTGTTCAGGCTAGCCAGTTCAGTTGGCTTGTTCCAGTCCACTTACTAGGGTAGCGCCAACACCTGGATTGACTTTCATGGTCTCCTGCTGGGATTGGGAGGACTTTTTTTTCTTTTTTTTTTTTAAAGATTTTATTGGGGAATTGGGGGAGGGAACAGCGTTGGGGAATCGGGGAAAGGGAACAGACAAGTTGCTGTCCTTTTGTTCTTTAGTCTAGTTGTGGAGGATGTTGCTTCACTGGCTCATGTTGGTATTATCATTGTGCTCTTCCCGGGTGAGGCAGTTGCTCACTGGCCATTGGATGGCCACTCACAGTGGCTCACGGCACCTCACGTTGGCTGCCAGCCACTCACGGTGGCTCACGGCAGCCCACTGCAGCCCCACTGCAGCCTACGCCATCGTCGGCCACTCACGGCAGCCCAGCTCCAGGTGGAGCTGTTGTTCACAATCTTAGCTGTAGAGGGCGCAGCATCACTGGCCCTCATGTGGGATCTGAACCTGGGCTCTGCTGCTCAGAGCTGGCGTCCCAAGCCAACTCTTACCCAGCATGCCACTCGGCTGGCCCAGGACTTTTATTTCTTTGTCTCTCACTTTCTTTCTCACTCTCTTTTTTTTTTTTTTGCAGCTCAGCGACATGTCCTCACGTACATGGAGGATGCAGTGTGCCAGCTGCTAGAGAATAAGGAAGATATTAGCCAACATGGCATTGCCAGGTTCTTCACTGAATAGTAAGTACGTGAATGCTTTGCCAGTAGAGCGAGCCCAGAGGAGGCACTTGGAGGCAGGCAAGGAACATGAAGAATTGGGCAGGACAATGCTGATTATGTATGGCAGTGAGGGCTTAGTTTTGGTGGATTGGTCCAGGGCTGCCCAAACATGTTTTGGAACATGCCTTTGGAGCAGCTGGTTTTGTCCGGTGATAAGGTCATAACTACAGATACTCAACAATTGCTTGTTTGATCTACTAGATCTGTTTCTTTCTTTTTTTTTTTTTTAAAGATTTTTATTGGGGAATTGGGGGTATGGGAACAGTGCTGGGGAACTGGGGGAAGGGGAACAGACAAGTTGCTGACCCTTCGTTCTTCAGTCTAGTTGTGCAGGACGTTGCCTCACTGGCCCAAGTTGGCACCATCATTGCACTCTTCCCAGATGAGGCAGACCAGTCGCTGGCTTCTGGACGGCCACTCACTGCGGCTGCGGGCCGCTCTCGCTGGCTGCTGGCTACACACGGTAGCCCATGACAACCCACTGCAGCAGGGGCTGCAGCGTATGCTGTTGCTGGTGACTCACGGCAGCCCAGCTCCAGGTTGAGCTGTTGTTCTAAGATGCTGAACAACATCTTAGCTGTAGAGGGCAGTGTCACTGGCCCTCATATGTGGGATCCGAACCGGGGCCCTCTGGCGTCCCAAGCCAGTTCTCAACCATTGCGCCACTCGGCCGTCCCTAGATCTGTTTCTTTAGGTCCCTCTTATAATTTTTAACTTTGTATGTTATTCAGAATATTCACGCTGATTTCCTTTAGTCGGTGTACCTTTAGCCTGTGGTTTTCATGGCTGGCTTTTTTCATTGAAATGTTTAGGATGATGTCCTTCTCTCTGCAGTTTTCTTTCTACAGCATGCTGTGTCAATCACTTAATGATTTCAGAGTATTTCTAGAAGCAGCACATCTTTCATAAATTATGTCTTTCAGGGGTTGTACTTCTTTGTAAAGTGTGCTTAGACTATGTAAAAATCAAAATAATTGCTACTTTTTTAACATTATAGAACTGTTTTTAGGCTGAATCAGATAATCACTTCATAACACCTTGCTCCTAACGAAAAGATTTGCAAAGGCATACAAAGCATTATTTTTATTACCGATATGCCATTGCATATTTATATGATCATTTGGATTATCTTTTCTTTTGTTGTAGTTTATTGGGAGCATTCTAAGAAAGGAAGAGTAGCCTCTTATAGGCTTCTGTTCAAGGTAGAATCATGAACTTAAATTAAGTCCATCCTCGAAAACAGATTTTGTCCTCTTTTCTCCAGAGGTTCCTTGGAGATCAGACTGCTATTCTAATGGCCTAAACTTGGGTTGCTGTTATGGGAATTATTGAGTCTCCTAGCTCTTTTGCTGAGCTATAGGTTTTGCAAATAAAACCTAGATTTCTTATGGATAGGAATTTCAAGTTTCTGGGCAAAATAGGTTTCCCAGGAGCAGAGCTGGTCCCTTCTTCCAGTCTTCTAAAAGAGGATGAAGTAGAGAAAGCAGTCTTACTCGTTTTCATGGTGTGGGCTGAAGCAAATGAGGTGGGCAGGGAATAAAGACTGAGGTGAATAGCCTTGCTTTTACAGAACTGACAAGCCTAGGGGTTACGTTTCTGGGCCATTTAATCTGCACAGCACTCTTGAGGCTCCTTGCCAAGTGAAATAGGATTCTTCTGGGGCACTGCTTCTTCCTGGCTCTTTTCATTTTACCCCCTACCCACCCCACTCACTCCCCACCCATCTCCTTTATATAACTTTTCCCTATTACACTGGTTCCTTGAGGGTAGGCGTCATTTCTTCTTCATCTTTTATTCCCAGTGCCTGGCACAAAGCTTAGCATATAATAGATGTTAAGCAAATGTTTGTTGAATCTACAGCTGTATCTGTGTTTTAAGTTATTGTGTATTGTACTCTTATTCTTGATCTTGTGAATAATAAAGAATATCTCTTTTTTTTTCCTCTTTTTTGTTGATCTTTTTTGATAAAGCTCTATATTCTGCCATTTAAGGGGCTGTCTACCATGCACTCAAACCCGAACCCCACTAGTCTCTGTAACTGATACTGAACTTGAAAGATTCCATGGTAAGACTTATAGAATGCTATTGACTGTAGCTTTTATCTACCAATACACTGTTGGAAAAAACTTCAGATTTTCCACAGCCCTGATAGAAGTCTGGTTGCCAAGTGATCTGTTTCTTGTCCTCAGGAAACTAAAAATTACATAATATACGTGAGCGGCACGTACCTGACACTTCCATAACTCTAAGATACCATACTGGCCTGAGGCAAGTTATTCTGAGAAGTGAACTAGCATCAAAGCTCCAAAATCCTTAAAAAAAAAAAAAAAGACTTGAAAGATGTGGATATATAATGAAATGAAAAGTAATGTTTCGTAGACAAGACCTGAATGTTAGAAGCTACCGATTTTACTTTGCGAATTTTATTTATCTAGTGAAAAGCCTTCTTTCTCAGACCTCCTCATTGTATTGATTCATAGAAACAATGAAGTAAGAAGAGCACTACTCTAAGAAAAAGAGACCCTTATTCTTATAAGTCCTCACTCTATAGTCTTGGGCAAATTTCTGAAATTTTCTGGGCTTTAGTTACCTCATTTATGAAATGAGTATAATAAATAAAGTCTTACATGATAATAATGATGATGATAATAATACATTATATCTTACAATAAACATTTTTTTCTTAAACTCATACTATGTCTCAGCCACTTAATTCTTTGAAAGTAAGTACTATTGTGTTGTCGGAAAAGTCATGACGTATTTTTTCTATATTTTTTGTTGCAGAAATGCGTCATGACTTTTCCGACAACCCAATATTATTATTTCTGTTTTATAGATGAGGAAACTGAGGTTCAGGAAGGTTAAAATAGCTTCTTTAAGTTCACAGGATAATAAGTGACAGAGTTAGGAATCAAGTCTCGTTCTGCAGTATTATAAAAGCTGTATTGTCTGCTGCCTCCAACGCACTGTGCTGCCTAATGTTGCTGGAGGCCTAACCAGATAATATTTTGAGGTCTCTTCTAGCTATACTTTCTACATTCTTTGAATTTTCCCTTATGAACTATACTCTACAAAGTTTTAGCACATAGCTTTGTCTGGTGACCTCAGTTCATTGCCATTTAAATGTTTAGTATTGGCCCTTTGGAGGGGAGGGGGTGCAATTGGCATTGATTCTAAACAATAGGAAGCATTTTTTTAATATGTTAACTGTGCACTTCCATCTCTCAGTTTCAAATTCACACCTTGAGATTTTCATACATTTAATAATGGGTGATTTACCTTTAAACAATAATAAAAGCACTCTTCAAAATTGTTTTCGGAAGACTTTTCTGCCAATTGTCCCCTCTGGGTCTGCTTGCCTTGTCACCTATGCTGTCATTCCTTGGTTGTTGGTGTTTTCCTACAAATCCATGATTGTTTCAGCAAATGTGGATAAGCTTTAAAACATGAGTAGCTAAGCTGTACTGTGTATGTATGTCTGTAAAACTGAGAGCCCTTTAGATCATATTCCTCTGGACACTCTTGAAAGAAGGATTCTAAATCCCAGAGGATTTTCTTTTATGTTGTATGCAACCTCTACCTTTGAATGTTGTCTTTCAACTGGTGGAAGGTAAAAGGAATTAATATGTAGAGGTGCCACTCTAAGAATAGACCAAGTGTCAGCACTGGGTCAGGACCTCTGAAGAAGTACATCCAAGAAAATGAGGCTGGAGTAGCTGTAACTTAGAAACCACAGCAGAGTGTGACCAGGTTTTGTGGTAAAGATAAAATGAGAAATGTGGTTTTTTTAAGACATTGGAAAATAATGACAAGAGAAAAACAGGCTGAAATCTGAGAATTCTATCAGAATTGGGAACCATTCTTTGCAGGCTAAATTGATAGTTACAACACTGTGGCATCGGGGAGCCTGACCTCCACATACTAATATAGAAAAGAATCATACTCTGTGGTCTTGGCTGGTGGGCCCCAGAGGGCTCTTTCTTATGATCAAGTGTCTTGTTTTTGTTTTTTTTAAATGATGATTTTAGCTTCTTGGGAAAAATTTTCATGATGATTGTTTTGGTCACAAGTACACAAATGACCTTTATTGATGGAAGCTTATTTTAAGGATATGTGAAAATATAAGACAACATTCATTTGGTAATTATTTTTGAGCCCCTACTATATGCCCATGTATACTAGGCAACGGAGATATAGACAAATAAGGAAATTATTCTCATGGACCTAAAGGTTTGGTGACGGAGATAGTAAGCAAGTAAACTGATGATGATGACAATGGCTAATAGTTAATAAATACTTGCTGTGTGCTAGGCACTGTTATAAGCATATAATATGTATTATCTCATTTAAGTTCACAGTACTGTGAGGTGGGGTATTAGTATTATCTTCATTTTGCACATTTGGAAATTCAGGCCCACAACAGCAACATTCCGAAGGTTCCATAGCTGATAACTACAACAAGATAAATGACAAGGAAATAACTAGGATAATGGGACATATAGGGTGGCCAGGAAGGCCTCTTGGAGGAGGGGCCTTTGAGGGCTTATCCCATGGAATGACTGTCTTATCCCATCAGAGAGCCACCAGGTTATCTCAGCTCAAGTGACTCACCTTCTCTTTGTCCACCTTTATTACCTAGGCTTTCTGTGTCCAAAAAAGGGAATACCCTTAATAGGTGGTGGTCACAGAAAGCCACCTTACAGATAATTGGCCTCCCCCTTGTACTGCTCATATATAATAAGTGAAAGTAATAAAACGATGTCATAAAATTATTTGTGTTATTTAGTATACTTGTGTAGTATAAATATGGATATGGAAATCTTTGTCAGTTTTAGAAAAGTTCATTCAGATATATATTAATCATCAGAATTCAGTTAGGAAGTTGTATGCTTCTTTTATATACTCTTGTTGTAAAAAGTACCAGCATCAAACTTCTTGTTTTGATTAGAAGAAATCCATGA